ATGAAAGAAGACTGTAATATTATCTTCTTTTCTTTTATACACACTTGGCTGATTCAACATCACGAACAGACTGTTACTTAATCATTGCAAGATTATTGTATATTAGCTGGCTAACAACATCAACTGATTAATTGTTATTCCCAAAAGTTTCTTAGGTTATTTAGGTCAGATTAGATTTTACATAATTGATATGAATTGATCGTAATTATAGCCCATTTGGCAACTATTTTAATTATTATCTATCGCTTAGTTAGATTTATAAGTAATGGCAACGATTACGAAATCAATAGCTACAACCGCAAGCATATTCATTATTCTCTCAGGTTTGCTTTAGTACCGGTGCATGTTGCATTTTGTAAGAATTTCAATCATTCTATAATGTACAATACGATTGATCAATTAAAATTAAGTTAAAGTGCAGATTTATATACATCGAATATTTAAATGTTGAAATTATACTATGTGATATTCTGCATTTCATATTTAAATCTTATTCTAAGAAGAGGCTAGTTGCAATATTCTCTTTTTTAATACATTTTCGTCCTTTAAATCTTAGCCATTAAACTTTTTACATCACTTTTAGTGTGCTTTATTCATGTCGCTTCTGGACAAAATACAAGTTCAGTTTATTTCGATAATGACGCCTATCTAAGTTATACTAACGGTCGTCAACAAATATCGGGTGTTGAAGATTGGATCGCATTTCGATTTCGATTTTGTCAAAATCAGGGTATGTTATTATATTTAGCTGGTCCATCTTCTCAATTTTTTGCCATCGGTGTTTATCAGAATCGAATCTTATTAGAATGGAATAATGGTGGTATCGCGATCGAGGTAAAAAAAATTCGATATTATTTTACAAAGTTACTGCCTGAATGATATAGTTGATTTGTACTCTAGTAAAGTCTATGATCGACATGGCCTGACCCTATTACACTGCAACTCTGAGCTATGATAACTTAGAAAAAGATCCAAGCCCTAATGCAATATTATAAACACGATAGAGATTAAAGTTATTTCATGATGAATCTGTAGAAACATTAAACACCATAGTTATGACATCTTTCATGTACTCTCCAATTTAAGTGACCAACTTAGACATCTGATAGCTTGAATAACTATTGCTACCTTAATGATAAAATATGAAGATTTTCGATTGTTGCTGGTAAATTTCCGAATGATATTACCTTATCTTAGTGTCACAGAGTAGGATCACTACAAAATCTCGATCCGGTGTCATGTTGATTTGAAACACTTCTAAGAGAATTTTATCATAATAAATGTATCGGCTCCTAACCAAATCACGTTTTATGATTTATATTCTCTCCTGATTTTCTAAAATGTCCAAGAATAGTACCATATACTCATGTAATAGTTTAGATATTTGATTAAAGTTGAATTTTAGTATAATATCCCAAACGAAGTTATAAAGTAGCAAAGTATAGCCGAAAATGGTACCATGATTGCAATTTGAGTTCCAATTTGCAAAATAAAGCAGAAAGAAGGTTATAATCGCTTTTGTATTACTACAATGATACACTATGTTTGATATACATGATCATTTTCCGTAACCACAACGGCATCAAATAAAGGAGTAAAATCCTTATGGCAAATGTTAAGATCTAGAATTTGTCGGCATGTTGTGAATGTAAAATTGCTACTTTAACTTATAATCTTCTTGATCATTAATCAAATCAACAATCCGAGTTAATTATCTAATAGCTATATTCCATACCATTTTGTAGTTTATCTGATCTTAAACTAAAGGTGCAACTATTAATACTTAACTTTTGATTTTTACAGTTGTACATTGGCAATCAATTAAATGCTACGCAAGAATATACTGTTAATGTCACCAATCTAGGAAGAGCAAATGCACTTCGAGCCACTATCGATAATATAGGAGTTAACTTACAATTTTCGTCTCAGAATAGTAGTTTAGACACGTCCACATTTGGCGGTGCTTTATATGTTGGTGGTTGGCCAACAAATGTTGCTTTACAGGTATGTTATGAGTAATGCTAAGATTAAAAGCTATCAGTAATCGATATATCCTTCGCACCTTAGTATAGTAATAATTTATGGATTATAGCAATTTAGGAAAACTACCGTAACAGCGATTGATTTTAAATATCTGTACGTTATATGCCGGTTTTCGTGACTTATATCAAGGTTATCGTAACTTTGCGATAATCTTCGGTTTACTTCTAAAATCTAGTTCGAATATAGTAGCATAAAGTATCAAATCATCTTTGTTAGGTGGAAGATGAACAGATTTTATGCATCACGATAATATAACTTAAACAACCAAAAAATAGAAATAATTTCTAAATTGGTTATGAATTAATTTGACGGGATTTCTAAATTTTATCGGATACTCTACCATCTCTTGATCCAGTAAATTTAGTTATCTCTAAAAATAAAGATATTGATTGATAAGCTTGTTTTATTTAGTCTCTGTATCTTTATAAAATTTAAACTGATAGAATAGAATAACGAAAGGTTTAGTTAGGCTGAAATTCTTTAATACTCTGACATATACAATCGCAAACTACATGCTGCCTTGTATCTAATCCGGCAAGCACATCTGCCGTCTAACGGAATACCTGGACTAATATTTTACACTGATTTTGGTCATTACAGAGTAGTACCAGAATTAGAACACGTCTTATTACTTGCATATCAAGCATTACAACCAGATTTAACACGATCAATTTTCGTTCGCCATCGGAAAGTCGTCGTATTCGCTATAGTTGTCCCAACACGTTTTGTTCTGGTCCGACCACAGCAACATTTACTAAAAGCTCTGGGTCATATCTGAGTTTGAATGCTTTTCAAAATTCCACGGGTGCACGTAGTGGCATTACGCAGCTATCTATGGAATTTATTGCAAAGTAAGTTAAGATAATTGAACTATTAATTTTAAGCATTCTATCGCTCTGTTTAGCTACATTCCATATTTGTAGCCTACTACAGTCACATTTTTACGGTTCCGAAGCTATGTAGGAATACAATGAAATACTTGCCACGGGGTTCATAATTAATTTACAGATTATTTACGGTACTAAATAAAATTTTGATAAATTTCTAGCATTGAATAATTAGTCACACCTAGGAACTAAAATACACTAAGTTTGACTATATGCGTATACTATTATAAATTTTGAGATCACAAAATTTTAGCGACTGCAATTACTGATTCATTCAGATTGTTATTTTTGGTATAGTTGAGGTTAATTAGGCGTATGTAGCTACAAATTGCAGTTTTTTATATCTCGAAGACTTTACATATTATGTCAAATAGTATCAACTATATATTAAGGTAGTTCGTTAAGCATTTCAGGAGAAAAGAATTATCGTGCCCTGATTATAACATTTGTAGTACTCGTTCGTCTTAAATGGTATACATTACGCTTTTGATACTATAATATGTTCTTAATTATTTATAAATCAGGGTTGCCTATTTTATCATTAAGGAGCGAGAGAGTGGTTACTGTATTGTATTATACTCTCATTCCTGGTTAATTAATTATTTACCATTTCTAACTATATCTTTTATCGTTATAATCAAATTTTGGACATATCAAAGATCAGTTGTTACTTTTGTTCATGTTGTAATATATAAATTAGTGAATAAGATATTTAACGGATTCATTTTCTTATATCATCGTATTTTAGTTCTCCAAATGGATTGCTAGCCTATATGGGAACAGCAACTAGTGATTTCTTAACTGTATACCTACAAGACGGCAAGGTTAATGTTGAATTTAATATGATTGGCACAGACGTAGCTTCAGCGAGAAGAAATACATCTTTAACGTACAATGATAGACGATGGCACCGAGTTACTGTCAATCGTGGATTAGGAACCAACGACAATAACTGTGTTCAAATGATAGTTGGTAGTGAAATAGTGCCAACAACTTGTTTTACCAAACCAGGTCAGTTGATGGATAATTCTCCTGGATGTATTTTCGATTAGCTATCTTCCTATTCAATACTGATATTAGATATTGATACTTGAGCTCTTTCCAAATAATATTCTTGGCTAAGATTAGACATTTCTATCTGGATAACTAAATTGAGTAATAAAATACAACTTACTATGCCTTAGAAGCTAAGAAATAAATAGTAATTAATTCTTAGCTTATGAAAAGTTTTATAGTTATGAATATCATTTACCTGTATCTAATAGCTAGCGCCGTAATTTCTCTAAGGTATCAAGATGTCTTTATGGAATGATCTGTAAATAACAATTAGATCGATTTACTACCTGAACGAATAGAATTAACCTTATCTTATTCTTGGTCAATTTGATAGGAGCTGATGTACCACCTTACTTCTTATCTGTGTCTGGTTATTTACAAATTGGTGGTTTACCGCCGACATTACCTTCGCCGAGTAACTTCCCCGGTATTGCTCGTACTAATTCTTTGCTAGGTTGTATACGTGATGTCCGATTTAGCGATACTGCTGAACCGCTGTTATTATTAAGTTTAAATAATGATTCCGTAGCAGAAGCTAACGTCCAACACGGCAGTTGCTTTACTAACGCTATTTGTGAGCCTAGTTGCCCTTATCCAGAACAATCATGTAATTTTACATGCTCATGTGCTCCTGGTTTCTCTTTAAATTCAACCCAGCCCGAATTAAACTGCACTAATATCGATGAATGCTCACTTTACCAACCTTGTCAAAATGGCGCTACTTGCGTCGATGGCATCAACGATTATACATGCGTTTGCGGCGAACTATTTAACAAGGGGAAAAACTGCACTATACAAAACAATTGTTTGCCCAATAATCCGTGCCAATCGAATTCAACCTGTCAAGACAACTTAACTAATTATACTTGTCTATGTACTCCAGGTTACACCGGTGTAATTTGTTCACAAGATATTAACGATTGTCTACCGAATCCATGCCTAAATGATGGTACATGCGTTGATGCTGTTAATAACTTTACGTGTTCATGTAATAGAGCCTGGACAGGTAATACCTGCGAAGTTAACGTTAACGAATGTGCATCAAATCCTTGTTTAAGTCGTGGAAATTGCACAGATTATATTGATGGTTATGTATGTGGATGTTATGCTGGTTTTGCTGGTACAAATTGTGAGACAAATGTCAATGAATGTGTCTCTAATCCATGCATTAATGGTGCAACGTGTGTCGATCAAATTAATGATTACATCTGCAATTGTCTACTTGGTTTTACTGGTAAGCAATGCCAATCTAATCTTGATGATTGTTTAGCGGGCTATTGCCAAAATGGTGCCACATGTGTTGATGGTATCAATAGTTATCAATGTAATTGCGCTTCTGGTTGGGATGGTGTTAACTGTACCATTAACATAAATGAATGTAATTCATCACCGTGCCTTAATGGCGGTAGTTGCACCGACGACATTAATGGCTATCAATGTAGTTGTGCATCTGGTTTTACTGGTACTTTATGTGCTACTGATATCGATGAATGTATATCAGATCCTTGCCTAAATAATGGCACATGTGTCGACCAACCTAATGGCTTTCGTTGTAATTGCATGTCAGCCTATACTGGTATAATATGTAATGGCGATGTTAATGAATGCACTTCTTCACCTTGTCGTAATGGAGCTGTTTGCGAAGATCGTTTAGGTGATTATTTTTGTAAATGTCCTCCTGGCTATACTGGTAAAGAATGCCAAACCAATATCAATGAATGCACAAGTAATCCGTGTCTTAATGGTGCAACATGCTTTGATGCCATCAACGGCTATGTATGCCAATGTTCAAATGGATATACCGGCACAACTTGTCAAAGCGACATTAATGAATGCGCTAGCTCCCCATGCAGTAATGGTGGCACATGTAATAATATGTTAAATGCATTTAATTGTACATGTGCACCTGGTTACACAGGTTTACTATGTACAAATGATATTAACGAATGTATGTCATCCCCATGCATGAATAATGGTACTTGTTTAGATCAAGTTAATGGATATGCCTGTAATTGTGCGCCTGGATATAACGATACTTTATGCCAAAATAACATCAATGAATGTGTATCTAATCCATGCCAAAATGGCGCTACTTGTATCGACGGTGTTAACGGCTATGTGTGCTCATGTGCTTCTGGTTATAATGGTAGCTACTGTGAAAACGATATAAACGAATGTAATTTGTTACAACCATGCAAAAATCAAGGTAATTGTACTGATCTACCCAACGACTATCTATGTAATTGCACAAGTTTTTACCAAGGTAAAAACTGTACGGAAGACATTAATGAATGTTTAACGGCTAATCCTTGCGTCCACGATCCACAAGGATGTATTAATACCATTGGTAATTACCGATGTCAGTGTCAACCAGGCTATACCGGTAAAAACTGCGATGTCAATATCAATGAATGCCAACCTAATCCTTGCTTCCGTAGTAATTGCACCGATTTAGTAAGCAATTATTATTGCAACTGCAGTGTTGGTTACACTGGTCAAGATTGCCGTGCTATCATTGATCCATGCTTTAATCAGCCTTGTGTCAACGGAGCAACATGCCAATTAATTAGCTTTTTCAATCGAACATTTGAATGCAGTTGTCCATCAGGCTTCAATGGGACGTTTTGTCAAAATGATATTAATGAGTGCTTAGCCAACCCATGCCTAAATAAAGGTAATTGCATAAATCTTAACGGATCCTATGAATGTTCATGTCTAGCTGGATTTACTGGGCTAACGTGTGAAACCGACTTAAACGAATGCGCTAATCAACCATGTCAAAATAATGGCACATGTATCCAAGGTGTTAATTCATTTGAATGCCAGTGTCCACTTGGTTATAATGGTACAACTTGTAATCAAGAAATTAATGAATGTTTACCTAATCCATGTAATGGTACTGATAAACCGATATGTATTGATTTAATTGGCAACTACAGTTGTGTTTGTCCCGCAGGCTATACTGGTAGTAATTGTACAACGAATATCAATGAATGTGGTAGTAATCCTTGCCAAAACGGTGCAACATGTTCCGATAGTATATTAGGCTATACTTGCACTTGTCCACCTGGCTTTACGTCGATACATTGTGAAGTTAGTATTGATGAATGTGCGTCTAGTCCATGTTTAGAAAATGGAACATGTGTCGATTTAACAAATGCGTACCGATGCGATTGTATACGTGGATTTATTGGTACTAACTGTGAAGCTAAAATATTTATGTGTTTTCCTGATCCTTGTAATGGTCAGACATGCATCGACGGTATTAACAGGTAAGTTACATGCAGTTACACATAGAACCATCATCAATCTAATAGGATAGCTTCGTTACTTTGAGATTTTAATGAAAGAGTGAGTATTAGATTGAAATGTTTATCTGTAATATTGATACTAATTTATTTTATTTTAAAATTTGATGAAAAGTAAAATGTACAAGTAGATGTATAATTTGAATAGCTTACATCCCTACTTGTACTTCCTGACCTACTTGTCACATCAACTTGTAAATATAGATAACTTCAGTTTAGCAGTATGTGCTCTAAGCCTTATGCCAAATATCCCTATTAGGCTGTTAACAGACATGACGCAGAAAAATCTTTAAATTGAAAATGTCGTATGTTTTACTTGATTTATTTAGATATACTTGCGTATGCGAACGTGGTTATACCGGTCGTAATTGTACTGAATCAGTTGTTGATTGCAACTCGGCTCCATGTCAGAATGGTGGCTCTTGCAATTTCGATACTACCACACAGATATTTAGCTGCAGTTGCCCAACCGGTTGGAACGGTACTACTTGTAATGAAGACGTTCATGAATGCCTCCAATTCCCTAATTTGTGTAATGCAACAAGTAGCCTGTCATATTGTAATAACACTCCAGGTGGATACCAATGCATCTGTCAATCCGGTTATAATGGAACTTTCTGTGACCAAGAATTGAATGAATGCCAACTCTATTCGCCATGCATGAATGGTGCTACATGTACCGATGAGATTAATGATTATAATTGCTCTTGTGTAGCAGGTTATACTGGTAAAAACTGCTCTTCCAATATAGATGAATGCGCATCTAATCCGTGTAGAAATGGCGGTAGCTGTACGGATTCAATCAATTCGTATCAATGCAACTGTGCTATTGGATATACAGGCATCAATTGTGAAACTGAAATTAACGAATGTCTATCATCGCCATGCCAAAATGGAGCAACATGCACTGATCTAGTTGGAGATTACAGTTGTGCTTGCACAGTAGGATTTACTAGTAAAAACTGTGAGATTATGATCACGGCAACGTTTAGAAATGATCAATCATATCTGGATGCCGGATTAGTGTTAAATAATAGACAAAAAGGCTGGATCACTTTCCGGTTTAGAACCTCAGTTGCAGACGGAATACTCATGTATAATGGCGATGTAAGCGAGCAATAATTAATTTTTACTTTTTTAAGAGCGATGAAAATATTATTGATTTACGGTTTATTACCGTACTTATAACGTTATTCATTCTTATTTAGGTAAATACCCAATCACCACCTATCCATCTAGCGGCTGAGTTAAATGGTGGATCTCTTCGAGTAACATATAACGTTGGTTCTAATACTGTTGTCTCTACCATTGCAGCTAACTTGAATGATAGTAATTATCATAACGTTAATATTAGTTTTGAAAGTGAAACTGTGGTCTCGACTGTAAGTCAGACCACCTGTGCTGGATCAATTTGTCGTGCGACAGCGACTACCAATACAGTCAATAGCACATTTAATTTGGATGAACATTTATATATTGGCGGTGTTATTAATATTGCCGCTACAACACAAGCAAGAAGGAGAAAGCGAGCTACTCAATACTACAACGACGTCTTTTTAACTAATCAAAGCTTTATTGGATGCATGGACAATCTCGTAGCTAATGATCGACAATTATCATTTCAAAGTCGAACAACAGGTGATAGTCGGCGACCATCGCCTGGTTGTCAACGTGTTAATACCTGCCATTCATCTCCGTGTATCAATCAAGGTACTTGCACTGATCGTTGGATAGCTTATACATGTAGCTGTGTCAGTGGTTGGTATGGTCAAAATTGCGAAATTCAAGTAGATACATGTAATAATAACAATTGTTCATCTCCTGGCACACAACAATGTGTCGATATCACAACTGGCTATCGATGTGATTGTAACGCCGGTTATACTGGTAGCCGTTGCGAAACTGATATCAATAACTGTATTCCTGATCTTTGCCAAAATGGTGGCCAATGCGTCGATAGAGTAGGCTATTTTATTTGTAACTGTACTGGTATTGGCTATTCTGGGCCATTGTGCGAGATCGATATTAATGAATGTTCATCATCACCTTGTCTTAACGGAGGAACATGCTCTGAAAGTTCAACAAATTCTTCAATTACAGTTACTGGACCAGGATATAGGTGTGCATGCCCAACTGGCTACACAGGTAACAATTGCCAGGTCAATATTGATGATTGTGCATCAAATCCATGTCAGAATGGAGCAACATGTACTGATCTTGTTAATGATTTCCGATGTGGATGTATAATCGGTTACACCGGTAAACAATGCCAAACAAATATCGACGACTGTTTATCCTTACCGTGCCAGAATAACGGTACGTGTATCGATTTGGTCGCAAGTTATCGCTGTGATTGTCCATCTGGCTACAACGATACATTGTGTCAAAATAAGCAAACGCATTGCTTACAAAATTACTGCTTAAATGGTGGAATATGCCATAATGAAACCCATTCTATCCAGCCAAATTGTACTTGTCGATTAGGTTTTATAGGTAATTTATGTGAAACCAACATTGATGAATGCCAATCGACACCATGTCTTAATAATGCAACATGTCGTGACGCTGTTAACGGTTATATCTGTGAATGTATACAAGGCTTTAATGGTACAATATGTGAGAATGATATTAATGAATGTGCAATAGCGCGTTGTTCAAATGGTGGTACATGCAATAATTTAATTAACAATTATACATGCAGTTGTAATCCTGGATATACTGGTCGTGATTGCCAAATTAATATCAATGAATGTGGTGGAGTAATTTGTCAAAATGGTGGAACATGTATTGACGGTGTTAATAATTATCAGTGCCGCTGTCGTAATGGCTTTACCGGTCAACATTGTGAAACTAATATAAATGAATGTGCATCGAATCCATGCCGTAATCAGGGAACCTGTGTCGATTTAGTTCTAGGATATCGCTGTAATTGCCTGAACGGATATACTGGTGTGCACTGTGGCAGTGACATACGCGGTTGCAGTTCAGGACCATGTCTAAATCAGGCAACTTGTCGTCCATCAGTTGGAGGTGGATTCGGTTATACTTGCAGTTGTGCACCTGGCTACACTGGCGACTTTTGCCAGACTAATATTGATGAATGTCAATCCATTGCATGTGCTAACAATGGTACATGTATTGATCTAGTCAATGCCTATCGTTGCCAATGTATAAATGGTTTTACTGGTGGACTGTGTCAAACATTTACTACGGCGTGTACTTCTAGTCCTTGCCTAAATAGTGCAACTTGTGTAACATCTGGATGTAATTGCGATAACATCGACAGTCAGCTCTGCAACGCTAATGATCTTCAGTGCACAGCCATTGCCTGTTACAACACGACGACATGCCCTAACGGATTTGATCTCTATGATTGTAATTGTGGCAATAACGGCTATACGGGTACCAATTGTGAGCTAGATATTAACGAATGTACAACTGGTAACACTGCAAGATGCGGAAATGGTGGTCAATGTATTAATACCCCTGGCTCATTCACATGTAATTGTTCATCAACTGGCTATACTGGGCAATTTTGTCAGCAAGATATTGACGAATGTACAACGCTATCACCATGCAACGCTGCTAATAGCATTAATTGTACCAATTTACCTGGCAACTATAGGTGTTTCTGTCGTCCTGGTTTCACCGGCCGCTTTTGTCAGACTGATATTAATTATTGCATTAACCAGCCATGTCTCAACAGTGGCGCCTGCATTGAAATTAATGCTGGTTACCAATGCGATTGCACTGGAACTGGTTTCGAAGGGCCTCTTTGCAATATTGAAATTAACGAATGTAATAGTACCGCTAACCAATGCGCTAATGGATCAACATGCATTGATCTATTGCTAGGCTACAACTGCTCATGTACAAGCCAATATACAGGGAGATACTGCCAGGATTTAATTATAGGAGCAACTGTTGCACCTGTTAGTGTTGATGCGGTTGCTATTGCTGTACCAATCCTATTAGTTATTATTATTATCGTCGTAGCTATAGTTATCTTCCGATTCTATTACAAACCTCGAGCCAGAAAAGCAACTGGTAAATACCGACCGAGAGAAACCGAACAAGGCTCACCAATGTCAACATTAGAATCAGAAGGCGCTGATAGGCTTATTTAATTGTAAAATAAAGTATGTATACTCATATCGTATTTAAATAACAATATGAAACACATATGTCTGAAAGCAATTAGAAAACTGATTCTTGTCCTGATATACAGTACGTATAATATGTATATATGATGCAATATATGTATTCATATATATCTATCTCTATAACTATTTGAAGATATATGATAAGAAATAGTTAGCATTTTAAAATCTTAGCTTTAGTTAGATTAGATTTAGACAACAACTTCCTCTATTTGTACTGTAACTCTTAATGGTTCAAATTTTACTATGGAAGCAACAAATTAATAGACAAAATTCCTATAAATAGGTAAAAAAAAAATAAATGTTTGAAATTTGAGATTTTTGCCTGCTATAGTACAGTACTTTTAATTTGACGTTCATGAATGGTGAATTGCGTCAGTTTGTTTATAGCCTTTATGATCAACGAAGATTTCTTCTATTACGTAATACTATCCATTTATCTAAGACAGTAGATTTATATATTTTAGAAAGCTTTTTATGCTGACAAACTTAATGATATGTAATATCTTAAAAATGAAAGGTATTTCTTCTTATTATTCTCTAATATTGAATGCTATTTATTTGATTAGAACCTTTATTAATTATTAAATAAATAAATACGATAATAGATATAGAAAACTACAATGCAAAGTCCAATTTTATTGAGAACCGTTATCATCATGTATGAACATTTTATTTTGTTACGTACTCTCCTCAAAGTTGTAGAAAAAATAATAGGCAAACTATTTTGACTATTTAAATCTTTCATCCCAAACCGATAACTTACTGTAATTGATGCCTTAAGTATAGGAGCCACTAATGCTCACACAGTTTAGACTTCATAAATAATCCTTTTAAAAACACTAATGTCTAATGAAAACTTAATGAAGAAGTTGATAAGTTGCTAGATAATAAAAGAGTACGGAATATTCCAGTATTAAATAACTTATGACAAACTAGCTAATATAAATTTGTATAGGGTACCATATTGATATTGTATCAAATGAAACTCTAGCCGACACAATCTGTTGCTTTTGCAATAGAGGTTAATTTTTAGACTTTTCTTTCAAATAACGAAAGGACCGATCAGTTTTATTTAGAATCATAATCATATTATCCATAACGGCGATATTTAATACGATATTTAAAACCTTTATTGTCATATTCGAACCTCCATTTTTAGGATGAGATAGCTTAATGGCCAGATCATTTAACCCAGACAATCTGGCCACAAAATAATGAAGATACCTATTTTTTAATTCTTCGTATTATTAAACACTAGTAAATCACAAGTATGAATTCTGAAAATGCTTAATAAATTTACCACAACATAAGAGAATTTTTAAAACCGAAAAACATGTGATATTGCCTATCTCTCTTAGGACATCATAATTTTGATTTTAATCTGTTGTAACAGACAATCTTAGATGGTTAAAATGCCTTACCGTAAGTAAAAAAGTGTTATGTGTAAAGAAATATTAGTATTACAGTAATTTAAAACTGAGTTAGCAATGTAAAAATATCTGTTTCATACAAATGTAATATGTGTTTCCTATTATTATTCTTCAAAAATAACAGCGAATTATTATCCGCGGATAGAATGAGAAGATTGCCCAACATACATAATCATCACATACGAGAATTATAGAAATTTTAATTATCATCGTCAAGTTTAGATTATAGATAAATACAGTAATACAAAAATACCATAAACCAAATTAATGAAATTAAGCATGGATATCGATGACGGAAATAAGATGACAGACAGTAATAGAAATATTTATGCTTGGCAATAATATATACTGTTAAAGAAACAGCCAGAATTGAAGACCAGTGACAGTACAAGAGCGTGTAATAGCTATAAACTGACTAGATGATTAAAAATTTAGATTATTTCCAGATGAAGTGCATAACCTTAGATCTCAATTATGAATAGTATAAATACAAACATATATGTATATGTTATATACATATTTATATAAGTAGCTTCTTCCATCTAAATGGTTTAAATCAAACGTTCTCTAGGTGGTAATTTGCTCATGTCAGCCATATGAAATCGTCCAAATTCCTCTTGCTTACTAGGATTAAATCGGCCCTGTTTTGCACGATTCTTTATAACAACGTAGACAACAATAATGATTACAATTAAAATAAAACCAGTTACTCCCATTGCAATGCCAATAGTAGCGCCTACGTCTAAACCACCTGTAGTAGTAGTGGTAGTTGGAGTTGAAGTGGTTGGTGGTATACATATATAAGAACCATTGGTATTGTTGCATTGTGCTTCTGCAGAGCATACTGCTGGAAGTCTTGTACATTCATTAATATCATTTTGACATAGTCTACCTTCCCATCCTGTTTTACAGGTGCAGTTATAGCCATCAAGGCAGCTAGGATCAGATTTACATAGTATGCATGTACCACTATTAAAACACGGCGAATTTGCAGTGCAGATATTGAATTCTGTACAGTTCTGACCAAAATAGTTACTTTCACAAGAGCAATTATAACTACTATCATTAGCATGAAAGTTACAGGTACTATTTTGGCATGGCATATAGTATTGGCAAGTGTTTTGACTGCAGTTCTTATTATGATAGCCTTGGGCACATTTACATGTGTACGAACCTATCATATTATTACAAATTGCACCATTTTGACATGGTCCAGCTCCTCCAGCACACTCATCAATATCCTGACCACAATTTTGACCGGTATATCCACTATTACAGGCGCAACTATAACTACCTATCGTATTTGTGCAACTTCCATGAATACACGGATTGTCGTTACATTCATCAATATCTAATTCACAAGTGGTACCATTATATTCATTAGGACACGAGCAATTATAGCCACCTAAATAAGGATTACATGTTCCATTATTAAGACAAGGAGATGAAATACAAAAATTTACCTGCGTTTCACAATTATTTCCGGTATAAACTGATGAACATGTACAATTATAACTAGCAAGTAAATCTGTGCAGGTACCATTATTAGCGCATGGATTAGACGCACATTCGTTAATGTTATTTTGACAGCTTGTACCATTGAAACCATTAGGACACGCACAATTAAATAAATTGAATAGATCACTACAGGTGCCATTATTTTGGCATGGATTAGCATCACATACTCGGTTGCCTTGGCATCCGACCAAAACATTGAGTTGATTAACAGCAGTAAAACGATCAGAAGGGTTCGGTGTATCGCCATTGAGGATATGAATAACTTGATTTTTTACTAATGGTAATAGATGAGAATTTAATCGAATGTTTTCCAAGCAGCCTATCATCCCAAATGGAAACGTTGGTAATGAATCAAATGTCTGTAGTGCATTCTTATCGACGTCGCCTATTACAATAAAGTTGCCTAGCTTTTGGACATTTACTTGATTAGCATTATTAGTTGTTATGGGCGCCAGTACATCTACGGCTAATGCTGCAGTATTACCATTGACAGTAAATGAAACGTTGTGCCACTGACCATCATTAAACGTAGTTGTATTTTGTGAAAGTGTGATATTGTCGTTACCAAAATTAAAACGAACATTAACTCCATCGCTCGTAATGCCGAATATTATCCATGTGGAACCGGTGTCACTATTTAAAGTCAGTATATTAGCATTTACAGATCTTGAGCGAAATCGGAACTGAATACTTTTCCATAAATCACCAACTAGGTTTAAGTTCGCTAGGTAGTATTCAAAGCTGGTTTGCGAACTTAATGTGGCACTTGACTGGCCTATCAAATCAAAAATCACACATTACGTTAGATGACTACGAGAAGTGGATATTAAATTATTTCACTCTTATGAAAATATAGTGTACAATTCTGGTTAATTTCTACCTAATAAAACATGTAATATAAATTATTCAGCGTTAATGCTTTCTCAGGTCATAAGATAAGGTATTGACTACGACTTTTAGTAAATTTTACAGGAGTTATATTATATTACTTTGCAAATGTAAATCAGTAGTTTCTACTGTAAAGCAGTAAAAGCTGACCTAATATCATCTCAATTATAGAAAGATATCTATTTATCGCAGAAATCTTCAAATTATGCTAATAAAACATCTCATGCAATCTACCTTGTTAGCAATTTAAGCACATCGCTTAATTCAGCAAAGTGATGTAAGTGACCACTAAATTATAGATACTGTTTCCAGTTACATTGCTTAATCTGTAACTGCTTATTTTTATGATAACTTACATTCATATCCGCCTGCAATGTTGATACAGCTGCCGTTATTACACGGATTATTAGCACAATAATTGATATTGCTGCAATTTTGACCGGAAATAAAGTTCGGACATGAACAGCTATATTGGTTAAATAAGTCAATACAAGTGCTATTATTATTACATGGCGACGGCTGGCATACAGAGTTGCCTGTGCAATTTATAGTTACGCCTTGCGATGAAATCGGTAATTGATCCAGATTCAGTGTCATAGAATCATCTTGAAAGGCAAACTGACGATTATTAACTTTTATATCTGATAAGCAACCATGCAACGTTATTGTTTGTGTAATAGCTTCAACTGGTACAAGCAAATTGTTAGCCACGGCACCAACAAAAAATTTCATAGTTGCTATTTTCGAAATATTGCTTGAAACTGCGGTAGTTAGTTGGCCATCAACAAGTAGAGATAATTGCTGATTTTGGAAGTAAACCTGAACGCTATGAAAAACCGAAACATTTCCATCTGAAATTGAATTATTTGACTGTAACCGCACAACATTCCCATCCGCACCAAGGTTTGCCATAATATAGCCATTATTTAATTCGACGGAGACGAAACTGTTATTCGTATTGGACTTGGTATCATTTGCTCCAAGGTACATGATAAAACTATTTGATTGTCGTGTTCGAATTCTGAATGACAATTGTAACGCTGTTAAGGCACCTAACATGGACGCATTCAATTCTGCATAGCTTTTAATACCATTGTTACCAAAGGAAGCAGGCAAATTCCCTAATTTACGATATAAATTGGATTAGTCATTGTTATCAGGCTGCCAAATCACATGAGCTATATATATATTCAAATTGTTCAAAAATTACTACGAATTCGAAAATACACGGCTTACTAATAGTGCAGTTTGTTCCTGCCCATCCAGTATTGCAGCTGCATCTATAACTATTCCATTCAGCAATGCAATTGCCATTTGCACAAGAGGACGTCTGACACCCTGAGCTATTAGTGCAACTTTGCTGAATGGCAGCGTTGCTCGTAGATCCGTTACTATTAAAAAATAAGTTGCTATTATCATATTTAATATTACGCATGCATCCAGTGTAATTAGAAGATGTCGATGTAGATGTGGCTAAAAGGCGTCTAACAGTCGGTATAACCGGTGCAGATCCGCCAAAGTAGAGGGCACTGACTTGAGGTAAGGTAGATCCTGCGACAGGTGTTGATGCTTGACATGGCAGCCCGGACGAGCCGGTAACAGCTAAAGTAATGCTGGAAGAAGTCGAGGAGAATGCGATATCACTCCAACTTGAGTAAATTACACCGCAATCGACGCTTACAGTAAGAATCCCATTATTAGTTGTCAATGCTGCCGTTATAATACCATTATTCATACTAATAGTTAAGGCACTACTACCTCCTGATTGAACAAGGATTGAGTCGCTGGTAGTAGAATCTGTTATAATCGAAAACTGCAAGCTAATCTGATTACTTGGGATCACAGCAAAGGCTGTAACTGCATCGTTATTAAAGTTAGCAGATACAGTATAATTGCACCAGGTTCCGGTATATTCCGCAGAACAAAGACATCTGAATAAGCCAGGTCCATTTGAAACGCAAGTTGCTCCATTTAAACATGGATTACTATTACAAGCCATAATTTCTTGATCACAGATTGTTCCATTCCATCCAAAAGCACACTGACATGAATAACTGTTAAGATGATCATTACATGTAGCACCGTTTAAACATGGATTAGACGAACACTCATTAATATTAGTTTCACATATTACTCCTGTAGAACCATTTAGACATTGACAGTTATAGCCGTTGACTTGATCTTGACAAACGCCTGAGTTTTGACATGGGTTAGACTGACATTCATTAATATTAGTTTGGCATCTATCACCAGTGTAGCCAGGGCTGCATGAACAGTTATAGCCTATCGGATTACTGCTACTCATAGTTAATGATGATAGATCCATACAATTACCATTAACGCAAGGATTTGGATTACAGAAATCGATGCGGCTGCTACAATTTTGGCCAGTATAGGCAAAACTACAAGAACACTTATAGCCAAAACCTGTATCAGTACAATTAGCACTATTAACACATGGATTAGGTTGGCAATACTGGATAGAGGATTCACAATTTAAGCCAGTATAATTAGGTAGGCAGTCACATCTGTAGCTATTGGATAATTCAATGCATGAACCACCGTTCGTACAAGGCTGATTTCTACAGTAGAAAACTCTTTGCTCACAATGAGTCCCATTATAGCCATCGGCACAACTGCAATTGTAAGAATTTATACCATCAAAGCAGGTTCCGTTATTTTGGCAAGGCATTGATTGGCACTCATTAATATTAGTTTCGCACCGGGTTCCAGTAAAGCCTACATTGCAATTACACTTATATGAACCAACTTGAGATTGACAACTACCATATTGGCAAGGATTAGAAATGCAAAAGTTAACTTGAAACGTGCAATAATCACCACTCCAACCATTAGGACATAAGCACTCTGCTTTATTCAGATTGTAATTTGTTCGACAGCTACCGCCATTTTGGCAAATGTTCGGATTTGGGGCACATAAATCAAGTCTTGTCTCACAGTTAGTTCCATTAAAAGCTGTTGTACAATTACAGCTGTAACCGCCAAGAAAGTTGTTGCATAAACCTCCATTGAGGCAAGGATTGCTACTGGTATTACATTCATTAAAATCTAAATCACAATTTTTACCTGTGTAACCAGACAAACAGTTACATTTGTAGTCATTAATGAAGTCAGTGCAATTTCCATTATTTTGACAAGGATTAATTTGACATTCATTGATTTCAACTTCACAACGTGAACCATTGAAACCAGCAAAACAGGTGCAGTTGAAGTAGTCAACGTAATGTTGGCATGTGCCATTTACGCACGGATTGGATTGACATTCATTAATATCAGATTCGCAGTTACTGCCGGTATAACCATTTAAACAATCACAAGTATAGAAGTTAATCTGATCAACGCAACTACCGCCATTGACACAAGGTGATGAGCTACACTCATTAATTTCAAAGCAAGAGCCGTTAGTTTCTTCGCTATAGCCAGGTTGACATTGACATGTATAATTATTTATTCCATCTAAACAAACAGTATTAAGCTCAGTACAAGGATTAGGCTCGCAATCATTTATATTTGCCTGGCAAAATGTGCCATTGAAGCCAACTGAACAGGTGCAGTTAAAACCATTAATGTCATCAACACAAGTTCCACCATTTTGACACGGCTGACTCTGGCACTCATTAATATTTGTTGTACAATTTCTATCAGTATATCCAGGATTGCACTGACATTGATAGCTTCCTACTGTATTTATGCAATTGCCAAATTGGCATGGTGAACTTTCCGCACACTCATTTATATCGGTAGTACAATTTTTACCTTTGTAACCGGTGTTTCCACAATTACATGAATAAGTTCCTCCAGGTTGTGTTGGATTGCTACATTGTCCGTTATTTTGGCATATTCCAGGATAGATATTACAGTACAGAGTAATATTCGAGAATTGACAATTAGAACCGAAATAAATATACTCTTGGCAGTTACAACGATAAGTTGCGCCTGTAGATGGTGGTGGGACAATGTTACTACAAGTGCCATTATTCTGGCAAGGATTCGAAGTACAGAAATTGATGTATTCAGCACATGTTCTACCTGTATATCCAGTCTTACAAATACAGGTATAATTATTTCCATTATCAGTATTAAGACAAACAGCACTTCCAACAGAATTACAGGGATTTCTAGTACATGCTGCTCCCAAGTCGGTTTCACATCTTATCCCTGTATAGCGTGGTCCACAGTAACAGAAATAGTCATTAACTAAATTAAAGCACTGCTTTATACCCTTATTTGCTACCTCCGGAATTTTACTACATGGATTATCGCCGCATAATTGCACCTTGTCTTGACAGTAGCTACTTGGATTAATATAACCAGTTGGACAAACACCTAGTAATTGACAAAACACTGATAATTAAAAGAATTTTACCTAATATGCTAGACGGTAAATGTAATTTACAAATCAATAAGTAGAATGAGAGTAACTAAGCTATATACATTACCATTTGTAACATTTGGAGTACAACCGGGCGAACATTGCCAAACAATATTCGAACTGTTTTGAGAATTAGCAAAGACTGATTGATTCATACAACCATTATATTCAGCTGAAATTATATTATCTCTGATCTTTCCGCCAAATAATGCTTGTCCAACCGGTTGAAAGCTTGAAAAGGAATCGTTCACTAGAAGGTCATTATTACCAGTACCAAACTGAGCTATAACACTGAAGTTACCGGAGTAACCAGAGTTACTTATACCGCTTGGGGCAAATCGGATCGTATTCCAATTACTATCATGTAAATTTAGTCCAGCCTGTATGCGATACGTTATACCACTGGAAGTTGTCCATTGTAGGACAGCAACGCCACTTGACAACTGAATAGAGATATTTGATAGCCCAGCTCCAGGTTGGTAAACAAGGGTCTGCGTAGGATAGCAAGTTTTAAATGTGATACTGAAAGTGTTGTTAGGATTAAATTGATCATCGACAATATAAGATGAGCCAGAGAAATAGGCCAGATTGGATTGACCATGGATTACATTGTTAGAGTACAGCAATGATATAGAATCTGAAAATAAAGGTATTCAATTTATCATTAATCTATAATTTTACTGGATGATGTTAACTTTGTTAGGAACATCTAAATCGAATATGTTGCAATTGGTAGATAGCCACTGTCTATCGTATTTATGTTCCGTTAATTATATATTATGCGCGTAAATATTTTGTTACGTTAGTAATAAATGACTAGAGTTATATAACTATTTGTAATTGTAGCCATAAAATACTTACTCTCATACAAGATGCGTAAGATTTCGATAAATGAAACAGATATTGAACTTATATTTCATATTATAGTAATAAGTATTTCAAATAGCAGTTAATATTGCATTTTATTAAAAGCTGTTTCTTAATATGAACATCCGAACACTTTGCATAAATGCGACGCCCTTACCCAGTGTTGTTATTCTGTATTAGAGATGGAAACAGTAATAGATGAATTTTAGAGCTAAATTATGGTTACTAGGGCGAAGAGTAGGAGAGTAGCAGTAGTTCAATCATAAATAGCTTAAAATAAGAGAGTAGCACTTTTAAAAGGTGTTATTTAGTAAGATATATGACCGAAGATTTCGTAATTTCTACTTCGTCGGCTTAGGTGTTTTGTAATAAAATAAAATTCAAGTCCATGTCTTTTGCTATGTGCTGTTTCATAGCAAAATTGAGTTTGAAATACCTTTACTATTATAAGCCTCACATACCTTGGTGTCATTAACATTCAATAACGAGATTTATTAATTCTACTGCATAGCTTACTATAATTTGACAATTGCAGGATATAATAGAGGCATACTAACATTTTAAAAATGTTATTATAAGTTCTGTAAGTTTTCACGCAGATTAGTGTGTGTTAGTAAATGAACAAGAAAGGTTATGCGAATATATATATATATCTGCTCATAGGGTTTATCCTTTACTGATATTATTATTAGTTTACGATTTGCAATGCACATTAACCATAAATTACAAATTGAATAGGACAGCTAGAAATAGATATCGGTATATCGAAGAAATATTTTTGTTTGGTATATTTATCATAAAAATCAGTAAATCCTCAAACTTTCTTTTATTATTACCAACTATGAGGCCTACTACTAATATATTCCTTTTCAAAACAGTAGAAATTATACAGACGACTCCTGATGATCAATTGTTTTAACAGCAAAAAGTATGTATTATCTTTAAGAAATGATAGCCTTTATTTATTTTTCCTCTTGCTAAAGCAAAGATCTATGTAAAATGAAGGCGCAATAAAATGTGCTATGACATCGTATCTAGGCCGTCAAAATTGTGGACACTAATTTTAAAGTTCTAATTTTGAGACTGACTAGTACTATCTCATACCTGCGCCTATGACAGGTGCTACATCTTGCAATGCTCTAAGCAGTACTATACATTCTACGTTTATGAATTTAAATATTGGATTTTATGAAGTATACGTGCACATTTACCCACTTATAAATGTCCAAACCCCGCAATCGTGTTTTCAATACAGTAAAAAGGGATACCTAATTTAAGGCTATACAGTTAGTCAAAACCTTAATTATACGCCGTCCTAAGTATCAATAGTAACCTGGAATAAGGTGGAACTACGATAAAGCTTTTTAACCGCAAACAATTTTTGAGAGTCCCACTATTTCATCACTAACTATCAATATATTGGTGTCACTATCTAGGGCATTTCTTGAATAAAGATCAGTAACGCTGTTTTGTGTTTGATTTTCTTTTGATTATTAATTATTTCGCTACATTTGTAGTATGTTTATGTTTGTGATCATAATACTCTAGTAAATTTGATTTCTTGCACTAAAACTAAAGAAAATAACCCTATAATTAAAGTATTTTACCTAATTAAAGTTTAGTCAAATGAAACTACGAAACTTAGTAGTTACACCATTAAGCTGATGATGAGAAATTTACCGTAAGAATAAATCTTAGTTAGTAATCAGAATAATTAAGTAATGCTTATATATGTACAGTACGTGGCTAGTCTCAAATTTAGAACTTATTTGTGGTATAGGTCAAAGTATATTCGTACCTATGCTACGGCCTATTTTTTACTAAATTGTCAAATACTGTACTAAAAGTTTTCAAATCCAATTTGTAACAAGACTGGTTATCAAATAGCTACTTCCATGGTAAACTATAGATAAAATTAACGTTATTTGGCAAAATTTATTGCAGTATAACCTGCTACAGCCTATAAGTAAGATATTCCTTTAAAAATATCACTTGCTCGTAATCACCGTACTTTAATGAATCTAAATCTATGGATTGAATATTTACTTTTGCATTGGAAAGGACATACTTCTATTACTTAATAGGAAGACTTATAAATTCATTACCCAAGCTTTCATATCATCATATTTTAACTAGCATTATATGTTACTATGTACAAGTGAAATAAAGCTAAGTTATAGCTATTCCTACATTAATAACACTGTACGTGGTACGACGTTCATACTTCCATTTTTATCATCGAAACCTTTATGGAGAGAGGTTGAGATAACAAAGGAAACGCGAATTATATCAAGTGCACCATTTAGGTAAAGTATACAGTATATCATTCAAGCTAATTGAATGCATATGCTGGAGTGTTGTTTACAGTGCCAATATAACCTTACCATCGAAACGCCACAAAAAATCGAAATTAGTCCTGATGTCAATTCATTACATAGTAAAGTATTACCTTCAAGAGTGCTTAAATGTAATGAGCTTTGGTTAACTCTAAAAAATGATACTGCAATTAATTCGTCTAAATGCTATCAATAACTACGTATATTTGTCAGTATGTGATGACGTTTAGACCGTCTAGAACTGCTATGCATTTCTCGAACAAGTTAAAAACATATACATGAATATCACCATAACTACTGGAGTACCATTTTCTGCCTTCATCAACTTCAGGAAGTCAAACAAGATAACTCGATAGACGTTTTATTTCATAAGAATATACTTTAACTTACACAAGAATAGTATTGCTGTCCAGGGATGAAATTTCATCTTCATTTCGACCATAGAATAACGGGAGAATACGTGCAACCACTTTTCAGGTAATAAAATCAACTGAATTCAAAATCTAGACAGTGATTACTACAATATTACTTCTAAGTAGAAATTTGCAATTATTCACTTGACTTGGACGCTTCTGTCTAAAATCTAGATTAATTCTTGCAATTTCGCCATATGACGATCAATATTAAACTAATAATTCTATTTCCAGTAATATAGTATCAATGCTACTGTTTTTGAAGAGGATTCAAAAAGTTTTTGATGGTACTCTTACTCTTATCACTTACTAACTAGTTGAGTAATATTGGACTAGGATCACTAGTATAATCGACTAGTAACTTTATTATCCGTTTCCACATTTAGATATAACGGTACTGTCCTGTTGATATATCAACTAAGCGCAGTACTTTCAAGACCTCTTATTGGCTAACGGGTTTTGATTGCGATGATTATTTCAGCCCTACTACGCTGCATACTGTACAGTACTAATCGGTACTATTCGGTCTATACCGTGCCATGTTGAGGTAATGTTAATTTATTATTATTCCAACTATAATATGGGAAGTGCCTATGAGTCACGCTTTGGTTTCTATGCTTTGGACATTTGAGCATGACGCATGCGAGATGGTGGGGCACGCTTTGTGTAAGCTGTAGGGTGGAGTCGTTTAGCCGTGAGTCTCGAGGTATGGTTGGTTGTAAATTACCTTGTAGACATTGGTGATTCATCTGATCACGTCATGAATAATAAGTTCCATGGTACGGAGTATTTATAATTTAGTTTATTAGTCAATTGTTTCTTTAAAATATACGAAGAAGATAAATGCCCTTGCGCTTACTGTTAGCACAGTACTATATAATTTTGCTTCGCATTAGCCGTCTATTAATTTTAGGGTTATGGTTCTAAAGCCGCTTGGTGTACAGTATGTGGTTCATGTAGTAAGAGTGAAACGAATTAAAAGCATCGAAAATTTTTTGATTCCCATGAGACGCCTTAAATACTGTAGCTTACTGTACTGTACTGTACTGTAGAGTAAATACAGTGGATAGTACAGTACAGTACAGTGTACAGTACAGTATACAGTACTGTACAATACAGTATGTACTGTACAGTACAGTACAGTATAGTACTGTTACTCTAGTACAGTGTACAGTACTGTGTCATGCAGACACCACACTGTACTGTACATTACTGTACTGTACGTATAACTGTACTGTAAAGTTGCCCATTTTGGGCCACCGTACAGTGTACTGTACAGTACAGTACTGTACAGTACCGTACTGTAAAATAAATTCATGGTACTGTACTGTACTGTACTGTACAGTACAGTACACTGTAAACTAAATTCATGGTACTGTACTGTACACAGTACTGTACTGTACAGTACAGTACTGTAAACTAAATTCATGGTACCGTACTGTACTGTACTGTACTGTACAGTACAGTACATTATACTGTACTTCGCTGAAAGTACCGTAATTCATCAAGTAACAGAAACAGCAGCCAAGATGTTAGCGTACGACGCCGTAGGTACTACAGTAATAAATATGGTACTTTACTGCTTTATACAACTAGGCACTACACAGAAGGAAATAAGTTTTGAAAAGTAGTAAAAAAAAAAAATAAAGTTTTTTAAGTCTTGATCCTTATGGAATAGCTCATACTGGACTTGCTAAATATTTCACCATGATGAAGCAAGAAAATTTATAGTAATCCGATTTACTTTTTACTTCAAGGACTAAAAACAGTGTTATGAGCTTTATCTATACCTAATTCATACTAGAAAATATCAATGGTTTAAATTAAATATTGCATCAATTCAAAGTTCATCGTATTTTGCAGTTATTTATTTATTAATTTTAATATGGTAGATCTTTTATTTGCTGTTAACGTGATTTGAAAATAACTTAGTTCGCAAATACAAAGGTGGAGCTCAAAGTCGAATGACAATTAATTTATCCACAAATACTAAATATTACTTGATTGAATAGGTAATTTTAGACCAACGAATGAAAAAAGTCATCGATTATGTTATCCACAGTAAAAAATTTCATGGAATTAGTGATTGATTGCAAAAGTAACTTGATTGTTAGCCATTTGATATGAATTATAATGCACTACAAATACGCACGCAGTAAATACGCCTGGATGATATAATTATCATATAATTATCCAACTGATGCCCAACTTTGTAATTTAGAGTTGATCGGGTGATAATTTTGTAGTAATGTACCACAGATGTACAATTTTATTCGCTAAAAACGGATACATAATAGCAGTAATTATCTTCAAAGCTTTAACAATAAATACGATATTTTTCGTAATCGTTACTAATAAGCTTGGTAACTCGGTAGCATAAATATGAAACCGTGCTAATGAGTTTACTGGAACTGTAATAGTGTGCTGTAACACTCTATGAACTAACTACGGTATATTATAATGATCAAAATTCGATCATAATAATGTCGTGCAGGGAATCTACCTATGATAATTTAGTATTTAAAGTTATGAACTTAATCCGCTTATATCAATACGCAGCGGCAATACTTCTCAGTTAGCAGTGATAGCCAGTCGCCATAATTGGCCTATTGTTGCTTCTACGAAACTTAAAATAACAATGAACGATTATAAACCGCGATAATAATCCTACCTACTGATGTACCATAGATAGATTAGCGATGCTGCAATTTGATAAATAAACACAGCTAGTTTGATATATAACAGCAACGTTGCCAGTAACTGCATATGATTATAAATGTTTTATATCAGAAATAAAGCTATAAATTTTCTTTAGTGGCTACTAGTGAAAAAAAATACTCGTTTATGAAAGCAAGTCGTTATGAAATCTATGCATGATTTTTTTTTTATATCAATAATCATATCATGTGAAATTCTATCTACCATCAATGGCAATCCTCGGATAAATCCAAAAGCAAAGTCATGGTCTGAAACTCCCAACACAAGTCATGATTACCAGCGTAGGAACCATATTAATTCTTCGTCAATACCTGATGAAAAATGGGACTATATCGAAGTAAGACCTGGAGCGCATATGTTTTGGTGGTTTCATGGTTACATAGGCCAAAGCAAATCACGTCAAGATATACCATTAGTTTTATGGATGAATGGCGGACCTGGTGATTCCTCTGTTGGTCGCGGTAGTTTTTATCAGATTGGACCTGTGCAAATGAATCTAACACCTCGTCAAAATACCTGGTTAAAGCAAGTTAACCTGCTATTTATAGATTATCCAGTTGGTGTAGGATTCAGTTACGTTAGCTATCCATCGGCCTATAGTACAACTGACGTTCAAGTAGGTCAAGATCTCTATCATGTTATAGCTGAAGTATTAAGAAAAATAACTGCCCTACAAAATGTACCACTTTACATAATTGGTGAATCTTATGGAGGTAAAATTGGTGCTATCCTTGGCCATCAATTAATTCAAGGCAATTTAGCTGGTCAAATTCAATGTAATTTTCGTGGGACTATTTTAAGTAGTCCATTTATATCACCAATGGATACAGCAGCATCATATGGACCCTTTCTTTACGCGATGTCATTGATTGATGATACAGAATTAAATCAATTAAATCAGCATGTGGAAAAAATAAAATCCTTAATTGCAACTGGTAATAACAAAGAAGCATCACGGCAATTTTATGTTATGCTATACATAATGCTAGAAATGACAGCTAATGTTAATATATACTACGTGCGTATGCATTTTCCTATCAACATCTTTGCTAGATTAGTGAATACGGCCGATGAAAATAGCAGTAATAACAATAATAATCCTAGTGAAATGTATAAAACGATGAATGGACCCATACGTAAAAAATTAGGTATAATACCTGAAAATATTACATTTGCTGATTCTAATCCTGCTGTTGGATCATACTTGGATCCAAGCTTCGTTACCGAAGTTACAGAATACGTCGATCATCTATTAGCAGCCAACGTATCTGTCATGATAGTCAACGGCCAGTTTGATGGTATTGTTAATATATTAAGTTACCAAAAATGGTTGAAAAAGCTGAAATGGAGTCATTTAAATCAATTCTCGAATACCCAAAAATTACCTGTTTATGATTCGAACGAACGTATAGTTGGATATAAGCAAAGCTATAAAAATTTAGAATACTGTACTATATTAGATACTGGACATTCACCAACATTAAGGATCCCTTATAAATTAATGGAGCCATTTCAACCTGGTTTGACTTAATCTTAAGGTAGCATATTTAAGCGTATATGAGTATCTTATTTAAAGTCATAATGTATCACGTTATAACTAAATTATAAAATTTGAATGTAAAATCGTGATTAATAAGTTCTGATATTAAGACATGACTGTTGAAAATTCGCCTTAAATTGCTTTAATTTTGGCGCTAGAGCAGTACGTCAAAAATTTAGAGTACATGTATATGGTTTCTTGCCACTTCGAGTTACTATAATGCTAAGCCGTTTATTAATTTCTCAATTACACGATATATAAAAGAGTAATTCAAACTATTGATGTAAAGCATGAGATTGATTTGTTCTCTAGCTATTTTTGTGATATTAACGAGGTTTCTATTTACGTATTTAAAACATTATAACTCTTTACATATTGGAGCACTGCCCAAATTAGCTTTAAGATTAAAATTACTGTATTGTACGAAAATTGATCAATTGAACGTTTGATTGTAAGATTGTGTAAGTGTATATTACAGATAATTACAGTACGAATTGTAGTAATTCTATTGAGATGTTTATGTTAACGTTCTGAGACTCAGATAGATTGTGCTGAGTATGTTATCAATATGTCTTTAGGATTAAGTAATAATATGGTTATCGGCAACCGCATTACGAAGATTGATAAATAAAGAGAACATCTGAAAAATAGAATTTACTACATCGTAAAGTGAAAATTCATTTTTGTTCTTCAAACTAATTAAAGATCATATACCTGATGCAATTATTAGCAATGTGAGCTCTGTAAGGGTAATGATATGCTGCAATAATCTGAAGATTGAAAAATAAATTAACGCGGTGTATCTGTTATCTAGACTCGAAATTAAGTATCTATCCATATACCTATAAAGTTGTAAAACACAAGTGATAGAAATTGTTGTGTATTTGTTACACTACTAGTATTAACCAAGTCTGAGAATCAGATATACGACAGAAATAATTGCGTAAGGGTAATACTTTTGTACATAGAAGGGGCTAATTTAGCATATCTCAACAGTTGTTTTACCGTAATTAATGTGCCTAATACATATACGAACATATCCTGTTCGATTATGCATAGCCTCTTTAATTACAAAGTACATTCATTTTACAATCTTAATAAATTGACAAGCTTCAGGATGATTATTTATATCATCTACTGCGATTGTGAACTGCTTTCAAGTTTTGAAGAAGACAAGAGTTAAATATCGTAAGCTATTAGTACTAGATAGATAGTGATATTTTGATTATAATTGTCTAATACCAATATATAGATATGTAAAAATTGTTTTGGGAATAGCAAAATTAATTTGTACCCTTGCATTAGACTCAGTAAGTTGTATCCTATATCTACAAAAAGATTAGCGCTAGATGCAGATTGTGTCTGACTTCTTAAGTAGATAAATTAATAGATTAAAGAAGTTTAGCATCTAATATAGGATAAATTCAAATATTACGGCAGATTTTTCATAATCATCTTTAAGTACAGCTATTGAAAGTCATAATTTAGCAGCCTATGCAATAGAGATGATATTGTTCAAATAAATATAACGTTATCTACATGCAATATGTCGTGTTAGCTAATAGATGGTCATTACTTAATTATCTAGAAAACAATTCATCGCACTTTTTGCAGCGACAGTTTAGGTGCCGTATAATTTAATTTATCTAATTTTTTTCAATATATTCTAAATGCCAGATCGGTGATCTATGCCCTAACAAATAACCTACTATAAACAATTTTAGTTCGGATACTGTAATGCAGTTTAAAATACTCGTATAATATAAACTTTTAAAAAAGTCTTGATTCTAGCGGATGTATATATTATGGTGGCCTACATTGCCAGTCACATAGTACTAGTATTAATTGCAACTACTGTTATATTATCAAGTAAATTGTTATGATTTTAGTCAAATGTTTATACAATACATTGACCTGTACTAAAGTATTCGCTTGACGAAAATAACCCTTCCGAGATCTGTTAGTAAATAATGCTAAAGTCCAAAATTTCACTTCTTGTATTCTAATCAACCCTAAATTTACCTATTAAATGACTATCTTACTGAAAACTTAGCATCTATCATCAAAAAACAAAAACCCAATTGCCGTATGTATACTAATGTAATTGTGTTTGATTTACAACAGTTCTTCATAAAAGTGCATTAAAAAGATAAAATGCCATTTGATCTATTAGAGGAGGTGTACTGATTATAATTATTGAACCTTTCAATCGCAGTGATGCAGCTAATCATAAAATGATCTTCATTACATCCGATAATATTTTAGGAATGTTAAATATCACCTATAGCATATTTATCTAAGCTAAAGATCATAGAATAAATAAAGATCTACATCTACAAGATTTTTTAATTGTTTATTGGATTTACAGGAAATTGCTGAGATAGCCATGCCGCTATTTTAGGATACAGAGGAGAAAGATGTAGCATTTAATTTATTAATTAGATAACAAAAACAACATCACTTTTCTATTTACGTTATACATCTAATATAAGTAATCATATAATTTATAAACTTGGTAAACTAAAGTTGGTAAAATTCCCTGACATATTATTTTCTTATAAAGTAAAAAAATTTTGACTGATGATAATTACTGACGCTAAGAAATCAGCTTGGAGTTTCAAGTATTAATTTTATTAAGCGGATGATAATGTTATCATGGAGAAACCTGTAGCGAAACCTAAATCTAATTTAAGCTCCTATTGCCCATCTAAAACAATTATAATAGCAATTGCTATAAGTATTATTATCATATTAGCCATAATTATCCCTATTTTTATCGTATTCGGAAAACCATATCAACTTCAGGGAACAAGTTCCGTAACTGATAGTTACAGCCCAAGCCAAACTACCTCTAACCCAACAACTGCAACAACCACAGTACCTTCAAGTTCTCCTCAAACTTCATATAAACCAATTCTTAGTATACCTGATGAGTTATGGGGGTATTATGAAGTCCGTCCTGGTGCTCATATGTTTTGGTGGTTTTATGGCTATCGTGGTAGTCAATTACGCTCCCAGATGCCACTAATATTGTGGATGAGTGGTGGACCAGGCTATTCATCTGTAGGTAAAGGAAATTTTGGTCAGGTAGGGCCAATTCAGTTGGATCTAAAACCCCGAAACAAGACGTTGATTAAACGTGCTAACGTGCTATTTATTGATTATCCAGTTGGTACAGGATTCAGTTACGTCGATAAAATGTCTGCATATAGTCGTTCTGACAATGAGGTTGCCCAAGATTTATATCGTACATTTGCGCATGTTTTACATTTGCTGCCTTCTTTACAATTATTGCCATTTCATCTTGTTGCAGAATCATATGGTGGCAAGATAGGTTCAATGTTTGGTAATTTATTATTACAGGCTAAAAAAGAGGGTCGAATTCAATGCAACTTTATTAGTTGCATCCTAAGTAGTCCATTGCTTTCTACAGCCGATACCATCGAATTTGCAGGACCTTACCTAAATGCGTTCTCACTTATTGACGCTATGCAATCGCAACAACTACTGAATCAGGCGAACAGCATAAAACAATATCTTCAGCAGAAACGAGGCATTGATGCAACAGCGGTTTTAGAGCAATCATTAGAACGTATGGTTAACATTAGTAGCAAAGCTAATCTTCATAATGTAATTAACTACTTATCCGAGAATCCTTTTACTACCTTAGTAAAGCGCAATTACACCGACATACAAAGCTTACAAAATAATCCTACCATAGCTCCAACAGCCGCCTATGCAGTTATGAATAACCAAATCCGTCATAAGCTAGGCATTGTACCAAGGCATGTTAAATTCGCCTCCAGTAACATTTTAGTTTATGCTCTATTAAGAGAATCAATCTGTTATCCATCTATTGCTAATGCAGAAGCAATTCTAAATGCAAATGTCTCTGTTTTAATTATCAATGGTCAATTTGATGCTTTCGTTAACGGGATAAGTTTGCAAAAAACCATAAAAAAGATTAATTGGCCTTACATGAAATTATTTCAATCGAGCAAAAAGGCTGTGATGAAAGACGATGCTGGAAGAATAGTTGGTTTCATCAAGAAATATCGTAATCTTTCTTTTATGACTATGATAGACAAAGGTCATTCACCAATTCTATCAGTTCCTGATTCGTATATCGGAAGCGTTCAGAATTAGAAATTAAGCATTAACATTAGTTATTTATTTATATACTTGATATAAAGAATCGCTTGTCGTTAACTAATAAAATATTTTCGGTAATGCTTTTATTTAATTTTATACATTTCAAATTTTAGCTAAATTTACACGCTATCATTACCTCAAATAAATCCGTTTCTGTATTTATAGATACCCAAATACATGCAAGCGTAGCTCGAATTATACTGTAGAGAGCCTTATAATTTTAATCGTGCTAACCTTTTTTCCTTATTGTATACGGCGTTAACTCTAAAATCTTCGAATTAGAATGAAACTAAAGTAACCAAAGTAATAATAAATTAATAATTCTCAGCTTTTTAAAAATTTAGGTACTAAACCGTTTTGGTATACAAAACGGATAATTCATATCCCTAAATTTTAGCAAACCTTGGTATCATAAGAAAATATACCGTACGTATTATTACTGTGAAATCATTAAATCATTCATTGTAAATTGCCTCACTGTATAATTATCAAAGAGTCATACTTTTTCCAATAAATTCACTGTTTCATAAAATTTATGAAGGAGAATAATGGTAAGAAAGCTTCTGTATGTGATCGAAAGCGATCACCGTAGTGTAGTTATTCAATGCAATATGTACTGTACATTCGTATCCGTTTATTGGACTATATTCCGAAGCTCCTTTTTGCAATGTCGACTATCGAGTAAATATGAAGCATAGTACTATAAAAGTCAGCCAGTGCTGATACTTAAAGTGAACTATGGTTGAATAATGAGCATTCCTTTGTGCACACTTTAAATCTAGTTTAATGACTAAATTTAAGCAGAACTTGAAGAACTCTGTGAATCTGCAAAGCACTGCAGTGTGAACTGATGTACTGCACTGTAAACGATGTATTGCATGTACGATTGCATCTAGTATAATCAGCGTTGACGTAAATTTCAACCTTTCTTGGATGGCTTAATGCACAATGCAGATCAAGTCTGATCGAATTAGGATGAAATTTGCATTTTTATCCACATTGATTGACCCATTTAAAAAAAACAATATAATTTATTTACGTAATTCCCCTATTTTCCCTATTCAGCAGGGAAAATAGGGTAAATTCTAGTCTACAGTAAATCGAGCATTCGACTATCCTCATCGAAAGCAGATAAATTTACTGCATTAAACCAATTTTACGGTGTATAGGATTGAACGCTGTAAAATATTCAATCTACCCTCGTAAAATCAAAACAGATACTTTACTGCATTCGATTAATTTTACAATATATAGGATTGAAGGCTGCAAAGTATTCCATTCATCCTCATAATATCCAATCTATATATTGATATTGTTTCCATCCTATACAGTTACTGCCTATAGACCCATCTTAATCGATGACTACTGTACACAGTGTACAGTACTGTACAGTACTTTACAGTAGTTATCCAGGCACGGTACTTATACTGTACTGTACTGTACTGTACTGTACTGTACAGTACACTTGTACAGTACCGTGCCTGGATAAGGCGTGTACTGTACACTGTGTTATCCTGTCACCACAGTACTGTACTCCTGTACAGTGTACAGTACACTCACAGTACAGTGTACAGTACTCAAAGTTTTACATACTGTACTGTACAGTACTGTACTCTACTGTAATGTACAGTATTGTCGCATACAGTATACTGTACTGTACAGTAGTATACGGTAGAATATTGTACAGTACTGTACTGTACTGTACTGTACAGTAGTTATCCTATCACCACAGTACGGTACAGTACAGTACAGTACTGTACAGTGTACAGTACAGTATTCAAAGTTTTTACATACTGTACTGTACACTGTACTGTTCTGTACCGTACTGTACTGTACAGTACAGTACGGTATTGTCACATACTGTATACTGTACAGTAGAATATTGTATCATCGTTGAAGCTATTGACGCTGAGTATCTGAGTAATCGTGGTTATAATGGCTGGGGCCTACTGTACGGTACCGTAAAATGTACTAGATTGATGACACAACTGGTCTAATTAAAACATGGATGCAGTCAAGAATTACTTTAAGAAAAAAAACTTAGACAGAAAATTTAAAAGGGCTGGTGATGGTCATGTATTAGCGGAAGAATCAGAGCCAAAGGTAAACGATCCTTTAAAAGTGGAAGCCCGTATTCAACCGACATCGGATGCTTCGCGTGCTGGCCAAGCAGCTATAGCCAGACTTGACAATCAATCAAAGAAGAGTCAAGTCAAATACAGGGAACCATATTCTGATGCCAACACATCCAATGTACCCACAACTACAAATGACAGGATAAGTCAAAAGGTAGATGCTGTTTCGTATAAAGATACAGAAAGAGGAGCAGCTGGTAAGCAGTGCATACCATTTATTTTACTTTAAAATAATCCTAACATTTCGTAGTGGATCTACAATTTATCATGTTAATGAAGGTATCAAAGCATATCAGTAAAGACGAGTAAAACTAGTTTTTCATTACTACAGTAGTGACCGTTTGAACGAAAGTAAACATAACTACGATACATAAACTGCTCATAGTATTACAGTTTCCTATCATCAACTGCCTTTTATATATCGTACTGGATGTATTATTGTTCCCACCAGTGAAAGAGCTATTTCTGTACAAACTTCCATTTTTGAATATTCATACAGTAAACTCCAGCAAATACACTACTGTACTATCATAAAGCAACTCATAGACTTGTAGAGATACATTATAATCTTAAATGTTATTTACTAAATATATGATTTCATTCTATGATATATGAAAATGTAGCCTCCAATGCGCGTGCTGGCTCTGATCAAGCCCAGGTAAATGGCCATACGGAAATGCATGACCGAAAAATTTAGTTCTGTAAATATATTATCGAACTGGTGCTTAAAATCTTACATTCTATGCATGATTTCGTCTTAGACATTGAATGAGCCGGTTACCATTTAAGTATTGATAGTATAAATATTTTATCCTTAGGCTTTAATCGAGGTGCAAAGAGTGATTCTTGTCTGTCCATTTTGTAAAAGAAGCAAAACTAATAGTGAAATCCAAGATTGTATGAGATCGTGCTTGAATGAGGTATCAACATTTTAACTACACGCCAACTGAATAATTCATGGTTATTCAGAACACTTTCTTAAATTACTTATTGCCATAGATCCAACATATAGTAGTTATATATGATTTGTAAGACCACTTCTAGTATTGCTTCCAATTTAAGCTTCTCTACAATATATACAGTAAAATCTTTCATATCCTATGTAGTGGCATAAAACGGATCCCATAGAAGCTGCTGCATCTCGCATTAAAACACTAAATCGTAAGGAAGCTGTTGATACTTCCGTAGCAACGTTAAGCAAGTAAGAATAAAACAAATACGTAATTTTGCGCATTTTTCAAATACCGCTCTGGTTTCTATAAATTTTACTTTGCGTTAGATGTGCGACCTTTTACATAGGTAACCTAACTCTTGCTCACTTAAATTCGATTAGGTACATAAATAACATTATAGCTGATCCTGCTACTGAAAAATACCGAAAAATCCGCTCTAGTAATAAAATCTTCCAGGTCAGTTATGCTTAATATCCGAATGGATCAATTCGGTCTTGCTACTAAATTTTATTGAGATACGAGTTACAACACTGTATTAGCCAGATGGCGGATATTATCAGCAATAGATACGTATCATTAACGATGCCATTACTGTTTATCACCTAACAGGAAAAAGTTGCTGACGTTGAAGGGAGTACTTCGTTTTTATTGTCATTAGGATTTACCTTGCAGCGCTTACCATTTCAAGGTTTATCACCTTTACTTGTGTAGGAACTGTTTTGTGTTAAAAATGTCGATAAATGTATTCACGTGCTTGTTATTCTGCTAATATAGATAGTGAAGAAGACTTTTATTATCTTGATCGTGAAAAAATAGTCGACGTCGATGTGCTGAAAGCGGCATTACTAATTTTAACATCCGCTGAGGCTAAAAAGCCTACATTAGACAAAGATATGCGCGTTTATCGAGCAGCGAGTGCTGCACCCAAAGTCGAGTTGCCGTCTGAATTTTATACAATATTGGCCTCAGAGTTAAAGCAAGAACAAACCCAAAAGTAAACATTGCAAAGACATAGTACAAGCTAGTTGCTGATATACGCACTTTAATCTTTATGATTAGCAATCAAGATCCATTGCTATATTCAAAATACTTATAATCTCTTCTACAGATCGAAAGCTGCAGCTCTAGAATCTGAGCTGAGAACTAAAGCCATGCGAAAAAGAGATGAAGGAAGAATTTCTCGCCATTATTTATATACTATTATTCGCGTAAAATTTCCAGATGATGTTTTAATACAAGGTATGACCCCTGATTATTAGCTCGAATGTTACGCTACCCTAATTACAGATGGTACCGTCTTCCTTTGTAATTTTAAGTGCGATAGCAGCTTATATTTTTCACTACTTGTTCTTAGGTACTTTTCATAGCAACGATGCGCTAGCAATGGTATTCGAATTTATCAATTCTTGTTTATGCAACGATGCCATCGTTTATACACTTTCGACCTCAATAGGAAAGAAGCTCGATAATGACAAAGCAACCTTGTCCAAATTAGATTTAGTAAGTAGCGCAGTGATACATTTATATACTTTCTCTTTCTTGCTATTAGGATATTCATAGTCACATTTCAATGTTTTATCACTGATGCACTCTCAACTTTCATTAGGTACCTTCATGTGTCTTACATGTATCATGGGATGTATCAATTATGGCTGAGTTACAAGCAGTTGGCCTTCTAGAACCAAGCCAAAAATTTTACTATCTTAAAAATAGTGTTAAATTTCTGATTCAGGAGCTCCATTAATGCTTCAATGCCTTTACGGAATACGTATTTAAATCGCTATATCAAAATAAGTGCTAATTCGAATATTATATACTTTAAACATATTTGAATAGTATATTAATCTCTTGTCATTTATATTCTTGCATTCAGAATATTTGATAATATTCTATAAGGACATACTTTGGTACCACATACTTTAACAAAACGCGTGCAAACTTTTTATTCTTTCGAATCTTCTCGTTAAGGCTATTTCATATACTTGTAAAATATATTATGATAATTCTATTTGTATGATATACTTATCTAAGATGATTTATAGAAAAGTAGGAAAGTGATATCAATACTTAATAATTATTATCATCAAAGTAATAAAAAAAGGCGATACCTCAATGGTATTATTTAATTGCAAACAACAAAATAACAACTCATAAGTTACCCATAGTGTAGTATATAATAATTACTATTATATACATTGACACGATACGCGATGTCATCTGTACAAGTGAAACTGATTAACATAACTGACGCACGCTACGAAAGTAAAGATCATGTTACTCCTGCTAATAGTATCGCGCAAAAATGTAGACAAAAATTGCGCCAAAAACACTAGTGAACGACTTTTAAACTCTAACAGTGCTTTTAGATAAACTATGCTTGAATTTTCATTAGTGATTACGATTACTAAAAAGTATTACCGTAACAATTTAAAAGCTAGTCAGAATACTCTAACAAATACTTAATATTACTACATAGCGTTTACTTTTAAGATTCACCAAGCAAACGAATTGATTGATTCATATGATTCTACCATAGTTAGAAATAGTAGAATTACTTCGTTTGTTAGGGTATAGAAGAACGCAACATGCAACTAAAGTCGTTTCTTTCTGATCTGTAATATTGTGAGCGTTCAGATATGGAGTGCATCTGTCTAAATAAGGTGATCACTATTGTTACTTTAATTAGATCTGTTCGACCGGAAAGAACGGCATGATAAAGAATAGAACTAATGACCAAGCGATATTCCAACTCTCGTAGATTCCAACAATATGAGATTTCTAATAGCTAAGCAATCGATGAGCATTATGCTAGAAGACTACGATATTTAGATGATTTTATGAATCTAGGATAAGAGTCAGTAGCCATTAATTCTTTGATGCATTTTTGACCTTGATCGAAAATGTTATTATCAATTGATTCCATTCTTTTCCTGATATGACTTCTTGTTTTCGAATCTAAATTAATCTGTATTGTATAGAGTAACGATTATTTTGATTGCCTTAATGTCATTTTTAAAGTAACCCTAAAATTTACTAATTTTAAAGATAGGGTAACATTTAAATATGAGTTGTCTAATGAATAATAACTTATATCTGTATGTTAATGTGTAATAGGCATATCCAAAATAACATGACAGCTATAAGAGATAATAAGTTACTATATTACATACAAAATTCCTTTGTTTAATTTAGGATTAGCCAAATTTAAAAAATCATTAAAAACAAGGCAATTATTGGACAATAATAATTAATGTAATGTAATACTGAATATGCTAGAGAAAGAATCAAACAGTTCTTGTCCAAAAAATATTTTGTCATTTTACAGAAGTAATATAATGACAGCCTAAATTTGGTTGATAAGAAACATAATGATTGTCTGCAAATGCAACATCACACCTAAACTACAGTATCACTTACTTCAGTTTTAGCTTTGCGCGAGACGTAAGTATCATAAATCCATTTGGCTCGGCTTTCGATTTCACCCTTGTTATCTATTTTCCTAAATTCTTCACATGCCAACCAAAATTTTATATTCTCATCACTAAATTCTGATTTTAAAAAGCGAGCGAAAGCTTCTATGCCATCTAAAATTCAAGTAGAGGTAAAGCAATCAATATCAGTGAATTTGAAATTCTGCTACAAAAACTGCCGTAAACATAAAAGCTATATCCCTATTTTCAACAAATATTCCTTTCTACGGTATACTCGTAGTGTCTTCTGAGGAAATTATTACGCAATCTAACATAAAACAATAGTAGTTTAATAAACTAAAACATAAATAATGAGATAATTGTATATAATCAAGCGTTTATCCAGCAAGTATTTTTTCAAACAGTACGAACTGTGCTAAATATTTTATTTTGCTGACAAAACAGTGGCTATGTTCATTAATTAAAAACAGTTTATGATATATACACGATTGACGTTTAAAATTTTGTCTGTCAGCCTGTAAGATACTAAGTGTATCTGTAAACCTTGCAAATCTAATTTGAATACATAACTCCAAATATAGCAAACAATAATATTCTTGTTAACTTTGTTGATATTATCGTCTTTTTTAGTGCTACATCAGTATTCTAAGGTATTTATAGAAGACTATACCGAGGATGGTTTAAAATAAATAATTTCAAACGTGAACTATCGAAAAATTCCTACTGATGCATATTAAATATTTTTGTTTAACTTAATACGTGTATCATATATACGGGTATATACTATTATGGGCATTTGTTATTAGTTCTTTCCATTTAGATAGTAAATTGGATATACGTAGTAGGCTGTGCTGTTTGTCTTTGCCTGGAGCTAGCACAGAATTTGATGTAAAACAATAATACCAAAATTGATCATCTTTATCGTGGTTTAAAAAAATTATAAAGCAACGTAGAAAACTACGACTACGATAGCCTTATGCGTGAGATTTTATCAATAGGCTAAAATAAAATTGAGAGCAATACAGCATAGTTTTAACTCAATTAAATAAAATGAAAAAATCAATTCAAAAAAAATAGTGAGACGGTTACGATAGGACCACGTATTTTCAGTAGAAGTTAAAATTTAACGATATAAATCGTTACTTATTATTGTTAATGTTTTGCTATTTAACTGCTATGAAAAAGTTAACGTAGAGCATGAGTTATATAATATTTCCTAATAATTATGTTTTAAACAATAAACTGGCAATAATTATCTACCTATTAAAGAGTTAACTATGAGAAATCGAAAACATCCAATAGTACTTCATAGTTGATATTTTATATAATAAAATTAGGAGCAAAATAGTATTACACTATCATTTTGAGATGTATGTTACCAAAGTTTATGTGCTGTAAGTATATCTTCGTCGAAAACGGAAGTTTGACTTGTATATCAATACTGGAAAATTTACATAATTTTGTTGAAAAATGCTAAAATATGCAATACCTAAGTAGATGGTGTGTGATTTACGGAACGGTTACGCTTTAATAATTAATATGATGAATAATATTTTTAAATATTACGCGCTTACGTAGGAAAATTACATAGCGAAGATATTTATTAATATGTAATTTGCGGTACGCAATAACAACGTACTATATTAGAGCAAAGACTTTGAAATGTGTTAAAAGGAGAATAAAAGATAACTAATAATACAGGTATTTAATCGCATGATTACTTATAAAAATCCTGATAGTAAACGGGATGCTGTGATTGACGACGATATCTGTTTAGTTTATTAATATATCCCACTTGTGTATCAATCATAGCTAATATCACTATTTATTAATTTAATGTGACTTAATTATTAATTTGCTCATTCTTTCTTTGAAGTTTAATTCATTACAGATGTTATTATTTGAAAAAGTGATGTCATCTAAATTTGAATAACTGATGAAAATTGACGGTATGGCAAAAATTATAATATGTTGCAAGCCAACAAATATTATAGCTGAATGATTAAAATTCTCTCAAATAGCAATACGACAATTAGTATATATAATGGAAGATTATCTACTCCAGCTTCCCTACTTTTCTTTAAAATTTCAGTAATGATTTTAACTACCGTGAAATATTGCATGTTATTCATTTATTTCAGAGTTCTAACAGTCTTTCAATCAAAAGCTATCACAAATAATTATCATATACATAATTTCAATTCGAGTCTGCTTACAGGACTATACTGCACGTACGATAGTGTAATCAGATAGATACAGTTAATTTAAGATTGGTCGAGAACATCATCAATGCAAGGAATTAGAATCATTGTAGCTGTAGTATTTGATAAAATTTTTTTCATATTCGTGAGGCGTTAAAGCAGCTTTAACCTTTCATGATTCAAAATATAACTTGTCAGTACTCAGTAGCACGTAGTATTGTGATTATTTTGGCACGCATTTGCGTATTAACATGCATATACAGATATAGATGATATTTGCCCATAGTTATTTCGACTGCTCGGTTATATTTATGAATGACAGCGCTACAATGTTAGAAGCAACATCTATGGCGCTAGCCGAGAAATTTACAGTTACGTTTAAGAAAAAATTTTCGATTACTTTAAATATATCTTATTTGGGCTCATAATTTACATATTACATACAGTATTTATGTTTTGAAGCCGCTAGTAAAAATTTATTGTATGAATATCTTTGTTCATCAACAATCTCTTTTAATATGCTGAAAATTTCTGATTCTGTCAATGTTGTAGCGTACCAAATATTTCGTAGTAACAATTTAGCTTTGAAGTATTACTAACTGAAAAGGCTATTCAGTTGATTACGTGACATGCATTGCTTTGTGCAATGTTTACTTTCAATGTTACCAAGTCTGTTCGATATTCCTGAATTATACTAGGGCAATGCTCTAACTACAGGGTCTTTGGACTCTCTCTCATTTTAATTATATATCATAAGTATGATACGAGTTATCCAAATCTGAATTTACTTAATGAATTAACATAGACTTTTAGAAGGGCCATAACCATTATTAAAAACGTACAAGGTGTATCTTACTTCTACTACCAAAGGAATATATATTAATAATGCATACGCACCATAGTATGTTTAGAAATAGGTGATTTTAAAATATTACTTTTTGCAGTATGATTTGGCTTTAAACAGGGGCCTATTTTGATTTTAATCCATCAAATCTAACACTTTTATCAAGAAAAATACCGTTACTAACTATTGCCATCTAGCGTAGATACCTTTCCAAGAAACACTATACTGTATTTGCAGTCATATTATCAAAATAATGTGGATACCATTCAAATTTAGCTATTTGACAACATTTTCTAGCTTTTCTAGTTATTTTAGACGTAATGATCTAGTGAAATCGATTAGCAATAAATAATAATGATTATATATTTAATTAATTAAGAAAATTACAGTAAGTTTCAAGATATTATCTGAAATAGCCATTGTATAATCATAGTTATTGCATCTATAATACATTGCACTATAATTTTACATTATGTCTGGTACATCAATATTTTTCCAGTTAATAGCAATGGTATGATTGCATATTGCAATTAATCTGTAAAACTATTGTATGCTGTTATCTGTTTTTTACATTTTTCCTTCGGAGAGAAAAAAAGAAATATTGTCATGGTCTTCCTATTACTATAATACCACTATACTTTTTCCATATATATCACTATGAATAATGTTAAGTTAAATCTGATATCATTAGAAAATGATTAATTGTGATACTGTATTAAATAAATTAAGCGATATGATACTTGCTGAGTACAGTAAAGATCACAGCATTAACAACGAAAATAAATGAGCCCGTAAAGGATATAATTCATAGCTCGTACTATCTAAGCTTATTAATGTGATCTTATATCATTTTAGCTCACATTAGACTGGTACTGGTACTTGAATAGGCTACATTCTAGTAATTCATCAAAGAAATACTTGAATAATTCAACATACAAGTTCGTATTACATTTGAATTACTATGTTAGACCTACTTAATTATTATGAAGCCTCAAAAAAAGAAAATATAATACCTGATATTAATTGATCGATATATCGCGTATCATCAGTATTTGTACAACACAGAGATTTGTTTAAACAAATCAAACCAAAGAAATTAGTAGTAAGACTTCAGTAAAATTTAAATTTACTTATAGCTAAAAAAATGTGTCAAAGTATTTTTCATCTGTTCAGTTAATGATATCAAAAGTAAAATCGAAATGGAACTTCTTTGCAAGATTATTGCTTAGCGCAAAGCTCCAGTTGAGGGGGCATTACAGTTCACTTTGCCACATTTTCTTTGGCTAAGTGTTATACTTAATTAGATATTATTTTCTGCCTCATCTCTCTATACCTTTATATGCTCACAAGAAAAGTTAACATTTACTCTGTCTGCGCCTGATCGTAAAATATAATTTTTTAAAAGTTATTTTCCCTTTTTCTAGTCGGAAAACTATACTGCTGTATATCTATAAATTTTATAACACAATCATGTTTGCACGTGTCTCGTGCCAAATGTAATATCTAGGTTTAAGACTCTAGTTTTTAAAGGGATAATTGCAGTTTACTAGCTTTTCTAACAGTTAACTTATTAAAACTGTTACATCGAATAATAGTGATCGTCAGCTAAAGCATCAACGTAAATCGTAAGTAGCTAATTATAGTCATTTTGATATACACACATTACTGTAATGGATATTAAACATAGGAATATCCTTGAATTAATTTTACCAGTGATAGTGATGGAAATTAGTATATAGCTTCAGGAACTAAAAAAGGTGGGCCATTACTTACATCATCTATGCCTAGAAGACAATTTTTTCTTAATTTTATACGCGAGTATTAAATTTGTGCATTTAACGCTTACTGTCGCACGTACTGTATTAATGTATGCTAAGCTAATACTTAAAAAATAGCAAAAATACACTACATGAGCTAACTAGTATTAAAAAAATTTAATAGAAAGTTGTTACAACAATGTCAAATTGTATCGCTGATTTTAACTTATGAAATTCATCCTTTATGTTACGTGTATAATACACTGCGAGCCTACCGTAGCATTTAATAATGCTTCTATAAATGAAAATGTATATTGTAAAATGCACAAAGTTAAAATATATATGTCGTTCTATGCCGAAGTGAACTTCTGTAGTCCTATTTAACTAATTTTTGATGATACTCTCATAAATATGGATTAAAGAAGGCAATTTTACCTAAACTTTTATATTTTTTCTCTATATTCACAAGATATGTAGTAAATTGACTTTCGGTCAAACAAAAAATATTACGACGTGAATGAGCTATTTACTTATGCGCAAACATGATATGGTAAATCTACATAGTACCGAACTGGAGTGTGATTGTGGCGCAAAATGGCAACGTGTTCAGTGAAGTAGTAGCGGATAGGGTCTAGAACACTATTTAGCACAAATAATTGAAGTCCGCTATTAGACAGCTTTTAGACACAATATTAATGTACTGCACGAATACATTTGAAAATTTTTCAGGAGCTGTGAAGGCGTAAAGTGGTCAATAATTTTTTACTGACCACTTTTTATCAATGCAACACAAAACAACTCAGTCTAATCCAAAAAAAAAATGAAAGACCAATTTTACTTCTGTCGTTATTAATCAATAGCGCTTTTCATTAATACAAGATGTAAAATACTCTTACAACTTGAGATTTAATTGGTGACCGAATATACAGATATGCAGAAATACAGAAAGACAGTTATCGTTGATCTTAATAAAGACTCATTGCTTTCTCGTCGTTACTTATGGCGTACGTACGTACACTCTGTCTAATTATATTCAATACTATCTTACCAGCATCTCTCAGTAAATCATCGAAAGAATGACCCCAAACTTTGGCTTTAGCAGCTAACGATGCCCTATATTTTATTTTTTGTTAGTTCGATTATTCAAACAAGCAAAACACAGAAGAAAAATTATTACATGATTAATAAGTTTACTACATTAAAATGACGATAAAATAATATTTCTGCATTGATTTCAAAAGCTTCTACAATTAGCACATAATTTAGTAAAAATCAACGACTATTAACGAGTATAATAAAGGATAAGTGGTAGAAGGTACCCTTATTGAAAAACGCAAAAAATAATGCATAATGAAACTAATTTTGTCTCAATTACGTTTTGGAAAAGCAAGATTTACTTCACTATTATGTAAAACAGAACTTAAAATTGAAAGCGAGTTGCGATAAGTAGTAGAGAAGAACGTATGAAACTATAATCAAGCTAGTTTCTTTGAAGTGAAACTGCATAAAAATTATTTTAAACATGAGACTTGCTATTAAAATATAATGAATCTCTGTAGTAGATCGATTCTATCGTTCAATTACAATTCTAGAAAGTAGTTCTAAAGAGAACTCATAAAAATTAACATTCCGTGCTTTTATCGTATCTTAATTTAAGTTTACTTCGTTGACTATTAGTGGCAATCTATATTTAACGAAAGCAAGGAGTGCTTCTAATGCTTTTAATATCTACAGTCTATAGTACACCTGTACTTGATGCGATTCCTTGACGTTCCGCCGCCATATCAGACAACTAAAGGAAATATGTTATAGTAGTAACTTCGTCTAGAAATCCGATTTTTCATACAATTTCTATCTGCAACGGTGATAATCGTACTTAAAATGTAAAGCCTACAAAATACATTGGGATAAGTTACTATTTTACTATCTCAGACATCTACACCTACTCGTGTGTATGACGAATAAAATACTGAATCGTGAATTTTACCATCACTAGTTAAGGGTAGTACAGCTTATTATTGGATTCAACATGATGTTACGTTCGTATCTTTGAACGATTTTTACGAAATTTTTTTGAACGGGCAAATCACGCCTCAATATTGATCATTTACGATTTAAAAACATAGCTATGACGGTCTAAAGAAGTATATGCAAACTGTATTAAAAAAATTAAAAATTATTCATATTATTGTAATGACAGATAACGAAGGAGTTTATGACATCCACTTACATTTGCTTGTCTTGTTGAAAAAACGATGTCAAATTAACAAGTTGTGATGAAATTCTTTCCTCTAGCCGATATTATCGACGGTGAAGTTTTAGTACTTTCTGAATAATTAAATAAGCTGATTTTGCCTTTTTCTAAAATTGAAGAAAAAATAGTAATGGCTATCAAGGGATTAACGGTTGAAAAAATTAATTTGAATGTGACTAGCGTCTCTAAAGCATTCGCTTCCGTTAATACAATAATTACTGTGTGTATTTCTGCACTATTACGATCTTATTATCATAAATGACAAAAACAAGGTAACAAACGACAGTAGCACAATCTTAGTTAATAAGAAGAAAGTGCATCTTAATAGGCGAGCAATAGACAGCCCCTTTCAATTAGGCTGTGTTATTAATATGGAAGCAAATAGGAATAAAGACTAGTAAAAATCAATAGTTTCCTATGAAATATGTATATATATAATCTAATATCAAAAGGGGCTTACCCTAGTCTTAGCGCCTTTTGGTACTAAAATAGGACTACTCTAGTAATTAGAATCGCATGAAAGACACACAACATTCATCCATTATTGAATAATAATGGTGATATCAACCTCTTAGCATATTTTTATTAATAATTTGGATTATAATAGGCAATAGAAATAGACTAATGCATTCAGTTAGGTTGTATCAAATCGAACTAGATTTCATACCAGTTATAGGGCAACAAATAAGACTTTTTTCTCTCAAATAGAATATCATTCTATTATGTTTATCGTCTATTATACTAACTGATCCGCATACAGCAAGGTTATTGTCTTGCTATATAAAATACTATCGCGTGTGTGAAGTTGATTATTGTTCGACGATTATAAGTTACCTTTACTGCCCACCTCCTTATTCTACATGTTCACTGGATTATTGGAAAGTGAACGGCGTAACTTTATTGACATCATCAGCATTGTTTGACTTCATCACCATAATAATCAAAGCTGCCTTAATATTATCGATGGGATTGG